TATGTGCTCTTATGTGGGTGGTGAAGACCTTATGGTGTCTGTTCTGAAGCAATGTCTGGATAGACAGGAACAGCCCAGCCACTGTGGAAGTGGATCTAATTAAACCGGCAGTCTCAAGCACTTGCATAGCATTGACCACATACCTAGAATCGGAGACAATATTAATGGCTTCTGAGAACCGTTCAAGAATCATTTTAACGATCTGCAGTTCCACCACCTGAGGCTGATCTGGTTCAAATTGTATGGTAACCGGGGGCTTGCCTAGGATCACATAGGCGCCTATCCCCGTCTTGGAGCCATCTGTATATATTGTAGTTGCTGGGACTAATGGCTCAGAGGCAGTAACCTTTGGAAAAATTATAGGGTGCTGAGTGACAAATGACAAGATAGGGTCTTTAGGGTATTGATTGTTTATATCCCCATGGAAAACACATCTCAGAATGGCCCATGTATCTATGCAGGCAGCCAGGGTCTTGATCTGGCTGGCGGTATAGGGTACTCGGATGGCTTGTGGTCCTGAGCCAAAATGTTGGACAGCTCTATCATGCGCCTCAAGGGCCAATGAAGCGACTGCCTCCGGGTAATGCTCCATGACTTTTGCAGGTGAGACCTTAGGGTGTATCCACAGTAATGGTCCTTTCTGCCAAATCACCGCTGTGGGCTGTAGACTAGTCTGTAGCAAACAGACATCAAAGGGTCGCCCTGGTTTAATTCTGTGTAAGGTAGCCCCACCTAAGGCTTTTTCCACTCTCTGTAAGGCAGCTCTTGCCTCAGGAGTGAGCCTCCTGTGGGAGGCTATATCTGGGTCTCCCTTTAGAAGGTCGAACAGGGGTTTGAGATCTGAATTTGGTATATGTAAATATGGCCTAATCCAATTAATGTCTCCCAATAGCTTTTGCATGTCATTTAGGGTCCTAACGCCATCCATCCTAATGGTGACCTTCTGCGGAGAGACTAGCATAGGGGAGATTCTCGCGCCTAAGTAGGTCACCATTTCTCCTCCCTGAATCTTGTCGGGGGCAACATGCAGATTAGCTTGTCTCAGGGCCTCGACCAACTGGCCGAGCATATTATTTAGCATGTCTGGGTCCCTGCCGCTGAGCAAAAGGTCGTCCATGTAATGCACACATCTTATCTTGGGAAAGGATTTTCGTAGGGGGGCCAGTAGGGAATCAAGGTAAATCTGACACATAGTGGGACTGTTGGCCATACCTTGGGGCAACGTTACCCACTCGTATCTGAGATCAGGGCTTTCTTGGTTAATGGTGGGTAAAGTAAAGGCGAACCTATGAGTGTCCTCTGGGTGCAGGGGAATTGAGAAGAAAGAGTCTCTAAGATCTATAACATAAACTGGCCAGGATTGAGGGATGGCTGAGAGAGCTGGCAGCCCCCTCTGGACCGCCCCCAGGGACTGCATCTGCGCGTTGACCGCCCTTAGATCATGGAGCAGCCTCCACTTGCCAGACTTTTTCTTAATTATAAAAATGGGGGTGTTCCATGGGGAGGTTGACGGCTTAATATGTCCTAATCTAAGTTGTGTACTGACTATTTCTGACAAGGCTAATAGCTTCTCCTTAGGCAGGGGCCACTGAGGTACCCAAACCGGATCATTTGACCTCCAGGTGATTTTGATCGAAGTGGGTAGGAGAGCTTCTTCAGCGGCCCCTAAGAAAAACCCAGCCCTTGCCTACCTTTTTTGTTCTCTACTGGTATTGGGGATGTCCGACCCTGTAGGGCATTGCCCAAGCCTTTGCCGGGGGTATATCCCTGGTTCCTGAGTATATCCTTAGCCTGGGGGGAGCAGTTTGACGTAAGCGTGACATCCATCTGAGTGAGGATGTCCCTTCCCCATAGAGACACTGGCAACTGCAACACAAATGGTTGGAAATGGCCCTGATGACCCTCCTCATCGCACCAGAGCAGGGTTGAAGCACTAACCTGAGGAGCTGACACCATCCCCAGGCCCTGCAGCGTGTTATCTGCAGTGTTGGTGGGCCAGTTGGAAGGCCAAACCTTTTTGGAGATAATGGAACGGTCAGCTCCTGTATCTAGGAGCCCTGTTATATTCTTGCCATTGACCTTAAGTGAGAGCATGGGCCTTTTATCAAGTGTCATATGGAGTCCCTCGAAGACTTCCCCTGAGGAACCGAAACCTTGACTTTCTCTAATTTTCTGCTTTGAGGGAAATCTCTTGTGGAGACTGGGGAGCAGCAAGAGCTGCGCTATCTTGTCTCCTTTATTGATTACCATAGTACCTACAAGAGATTGAACCATAATTTTAATGTGTCCTGTGTAGTCTGAGTCTATGACCCCCGGGACTACTATGAGACCCCGAAGGGCCGTGGAGGATCTCCCGATCACCAGACCCACGGAATTTTCGGGTAACGGTCCCTTAAAGGTGGTTTCAACCACTCGAACACCCATATCAGGCACTAATATAAGTCTGGAGGCGACACTGAGGTCCACACCTGCTGACCCAGGGGTGGCCCTTGTTGAAGGCTGCCATCCTGAGCTGTCCTGTCTCTGGGGCGGGGGCCCGCCTGTGAAGGGGGCCCCCTCTGGCCGTTTTTTGGCCCTCTAGCATCTCGTCCACAAATACGGTTGCCCTGAGCATCAAAGACCGACCTACACTCCTCAGCTTTGTGTGATCCCTTCTTGCATCGCCCACAAACATATGGTTCTTCATTCCTAGGGCGAGGCCTAGCATCTGCATTGTTTGGGCAATGACGTTTAATGTGTCCTGGCTCCCCGCAGGCAAAACACCCTTTAGCCTTACATTCCCCTTCTAACCCGCGAGGTCCCCTCTGCTGTACAGCCGCGGCCAGGAGAGCAGCCACTCCCGAGTTGGAGAGCGGCCCCCCTATCTCTCTACATATCCTAATCCAGGCGTTGAGGTCCTTGTTCTTATGAGGAGCTATCGCTGCCTTGCACTCCTTTGTACATTGCTCGAAAATCAGCTGCCTTACCAGCGGTCGAGCCACTCCCGGATCAGAAAATATCTTATCGGCAGCATCTTGCATTCGGGCCACAAAGTCAACAAATGGCTCTGTGGTACCCTGAATTATTTTTGAAAGACACAAGGAGGCTGTTCCGGCACCACTTACCTGCTTCCAGGCGCGGAGCCCTATGGCGTTGATTTGTTCATAGACAGCGCCGGGGAACTGAGTCTGATCATCAGCGTGCCGACCTTCTCCCATAAGCATTTCCTTGTTCCACCCCCGGTTTCCCCGACTGGCGTTTCTCTCAGCCTGCTCTGCAGAGAACTCTGCGTACCAGGCTCGCCAATCCAGGTAACTACCCGAGGGCAGACACGCCTTTGCCAGCTGAATCCAGTCCGCGGGGGTGAGGGGCCCAGAAGACAGATTCTCCAGCATGGCAATGGTGTAAGGCGCAGTCGGCCCAAAGGTTGTAACTGCATTTTTAAGTTCTCTAATCTGCTTTATCTCAAAAGGCTCCCATACATTGCGTCCCTGGCCCATAGCTACTTGTACAGGAAATATCCCGTAGGGGCCACTATCTATCCCAGGTGGATGTACCTCATGAGACAAGCGTCCCCCCTGCCAAAGCCGCCTGTAAAAATACCGACCCGCCGGCGGCGGAGCATAAGACGGCGGCCGTGATTGGGCGGAAAATGGGGGCCCGTGCATCACTTCCTGTTCTGGCGAAAGGGGAAGGGAGCTCCCGGGCGGCCGCCTCGCGGCGAGGGATCGCCTCCGGGAACAGCCCCCAAGGTGGGGCGGAAGGCTTCGCCTCCCTCTCGCGCCGGGGAGCGCTCAGGAGCTCTCTACTCCTCCACAGACCAAGTTGAGCGGAGCGCAATTCACGGCGCAACGCTGGGAAAGAACCCTGCGACTCCTTATCGAGCGACTTAGGCTCCTGACAGCTGGTCTCTTTGGCCTCCTTGCCATTCAACTTTCCCTCGTCCTCGGAGTCAGACGACTCCGAGGCTAGAGCCCCGTCCTCCTCCTTAGCATCTTTGTTCCCCTTGACGGGCCCCTCTCGGGAGCTCCCTGACTGGGCCTGCTCAAATACCCTGCGTACTTTTGTAAGCTCTTGAGAGCTTTCTCCACAACCACCCTCGCTCTTAGTGTTGCTACCTAGCATGTTTCCCATTTTTTAATATGTTACTCACCGCGTGAGGCCCAAGGAATCCGCCACTTACGCGTGAGCCTGAGGGGAGTCTAAAAGCCCTGTAGGTGCGCGCCACCCAGAGCCCAGGCTTATCCCCAACTCACCTGTCTTGCAGCTCTGTACTGGAGCGTTGTCCGCTGTCACGTCTCGGGGGTGATCAGTCCCCGTACGGGCCACCAAATGTCGATGTCGCTCCTGGCCGGCAGGAAGGACACACGACAAAGTCTGGCAGTGGACAACCTTTTCTTTTATTTTCCTTCTCCGTACAGCCTGCCCTGGGATCGCTCCCAGCCGAAGCCTCCTTTGGTCCGCTCCCCGCGGCTCCTTCTGGGCTTCTACTTCCGGGCTTCTTCTTCCCCCCCAGGGGTGGCACCAGTATATATACGGATATAGTGTCCAATCATGTTAAAGTAAGCAAGGCAAGCTGATTGGCTAACATCATCAGTTGCCAGGCAGACTATATTGTTGAGCGGGTTGCTTACGCGGTAAGCAGGAAACTAACGTGCTCGATGGGAGGGGTAATCTACCTCAGGCTTTACTCTTTACTACAGGCCTCACGTCCGCCAAGTGAGGCGACCGGGCTCGGGGCTGCGGCTCCCAACAAGATTTCCCTCCAGCTATGGGGAAATGTGTAGTGCTGTGTGACCCAGTAGGAACAGCACTGTCCTGAACCCTCGAGTGAGATAAAGTGAGAACCACTGAGCTTATGGACATGTTATTTTTAGTTAAGTCTTGAAGAATTCATTTTTTTTAATTGGGTAAGAATTACATGTATATGGAAAACTTCATGTAAATGTAAGTTATCTAATCATGTAACATCATTTCAATAATTTTGTTTTCCTCCTCTTTTCCCCTTCTCCCTGTCCCAGGTTATGGAAAAGAATTTAAGGACTTGGAAGCAGGCTATAAATTTCATGAGCTCCATTCAGAGCCACATCTACATATAAAAAATCCTAAAAGGTAATCGTAGATATTTGGAAATTTTGAAACCATTTTTCCTAAATGTATTATGTATTATAGGAACTCTCTATAGGGGGGGGCATAAATATAAAAATTAGTAGGTCTATGGTATTTTGTATCTGTTTCTTGGGAATCATTCGTAGAATGTGGACCTCAGAGTAAAGGGCCTGCAAAGTCCCTGCAGGTGCAGGTCAGTACTGGATTGTTCTAATACTCACAGCATTCTTACGAGGCAGGTAGGAGGTACAGGCGGAAGGGATATTGGAGTTGCCAGCATCACTATGCTGATGCCTTAGGGCCACTGTTAAGTGAAATATGATTTCTTGTAGATACTGTGATATAATTACAATAACAGTGGTTCTAATCACAGAGACTAAATTGGTGGATATTGGAAGCAATGTAGATAACCTGGGCAGAGGAATGATTTACATCCTAGGAAGAACAAATGAGATTTCTTCATACTTAGAATAGTGGTGTACAATTCAAAACTCATGAAATGTTCATCTTAGGAACTTTCTGCTTAATATCTGGGCTCAGGTGCAAGCCTGTAATCACAGCAACTCTGGCAGGCTAAGGCAGGAAGATCACAAGTTCAATCCTAGCCTGAGCAACTTAACAGTTTAGACCTTGCCTCAAAAACTAAAAAACGGGATAGGAATGTAGCTCAGTGTGAAGACTAAAGGTATATTTCCCAGTACCACAACCAAAAAATTCCGTTTAACATTTTCAGACTTCAGTAGACCATGCATAACTAATACCATGGGTAATGGGGGGACTACTGTATTTTACTTTTTAAAAATTGAGCTGTAGATTAAGTAATGTACTTGAAGCAGTGGGGGTCAGATTTTATTGATCTAGCCAATTTATTAGATTTTACTTATCTAGCCAAACCATTATGCTCTAATTGAAGTTCATGTGATTTGTAGTAGAAAAATAGGGTGCTCGTATGAGAAATATAATTTGTAACATACTATCATTTATCTTCATCTTAGAAGTTAGTCTATTAAAGCAACACTAAGATTCAACCTCACCCCAGAAAGAATACTGTTTTTAAGAAATCAACCAATAACAAATGCTGGAGGGGCTGTGGAAAAAAGGAACCTTCTCCACAGTTGGTGGCAGTGCAGATTGGCACAATCACTATGGAAATCAGTGTGGAGATTCCTTAAGAAACTAGAATTGGAGGTCTCATTTGACCCAGCTATTCCCTTTCTGGTCATATTCCCAGAAGAATTAAAAACATATCACAAGAGATACATGTGTACCCATGTTCATAGCAGCACAATTTGTAATAGTTAAATCTTGGAAACAATGTAAATGCCCATCAACTGAGGAATGGATAAAAAAGATGTGGTTATCTTTGTACAATGGAATACTACTCAGCCATAAAGAAGGATGAACTTGAGACTTTTATAGGAAAATGAATACTAGTCTTAAGTGAAATAAATCAGACACATGGAAGCATTAAATTGTCTCACTAGTGTGAGAAGCTGAAAGAAACTATATATAAAAGATAGTTAAGATATTTATAATAATTTCTCTGAGTTCATTGAGGAGAAAGGTTTGTGCTAGTATTGTTCAGATGATTAAATATAAGTGTCTTGTACTCTAACTGATTTGAAGATAACAATACCCAATGTACATACATTGTTACCCTCTAATTATTAAAATTTCGTTTTTTCTTTTTAAAATAAAATTTTAAAAAAGGAAGTTAATATAATCTTAACAAATCTTCTTTCTCCTCCTCCTCCTCCTCCTCCTCTTTCTCTTCCTCCTCCACCACTACCACCGCCTCTCCCATATATTGGGAAAATCAAACTAAAAAGGTCTGTTTTCCTCCAGTTTCACATGTCTCTATATGGTGTTTTATCTTTGTCTTTTATTTTCATCTTTCAGGCCAGATATCCATGAAATCGGTGGAAAGTTATTTCCTTCATCCAGCCTACAAGTACTCAAGGAACACACTGCAGGAGACCATGTCTACCAATCAGATGAACAGAAATTTGAAAGACCAAATGGATGCAGATTTTCTGAACGGCTTACTAAAGAAAATTCTGAGAGACCAGGTTTGCCTTTTCATAGTGATGACAGTTCTGCACCTGCAGCGCGCATGGACAGAAATGAAATAATCTCACCATCTCCATCGTGCTCTTCACATTTGAGAACTGTTGGGTTAAAGCCAGAAACTTCACCTTCTCCCCTCCCCCCACAGCAACATATGATGGAACGAAGTCACTCTGTGAACTCTCTATCCAGGGAACATATAATTCACTCAGCTTGCAGATCGGAAGGTTGTCAGATGCCAAATTTTATTTGCCCAAATCTGCCACCTCCCTTGCCACCAAAGAAATACGCTACACTCAGTATGCCACAGCCAGAGCAAAGTGACTCTGTATCTGATGTCAAACTGCCAGATGTGTTTATTAAAACCACTTCTTCCGGTCTTCCAAAGCATAACTTAAGGACGCCTTCAGAACCAAACTTAGAAGCAAGTACACACGTGAGTGGTGAAAGATGTAAAGGAACAATTCAAGTTAAACAGCCTGTTGGCATCCCACAAAACTACCCCGCCAGCTCTTCAGCTTCAAGTAGCAAGTTTCCGGGAAGCTCAGGCGCCGCTGTTGATGCACTTTGCCAGCCAGAACGAGGCTCCGGTTCAGTGAGCCCAGATGAGCCAGTTTCACTAACTACCTATTTTTCGGTTGATAACTGTATGACTGACACGTACAGATTGAAATACCATCAGAGGCCCAAACTCTGTTTTCCAGAAAGCAGTGACAGCTCTAATAATTCACTAGCGCAGAGTGAAAGACAGGTTGGACCTGTGTTACATAGCAGTCTCGGTTCAAGCCGCCCTGCTGAACAAGGACATAAACCCAGCCTACACTGTCATAGGTAGGTGATAAAATCAGCAAGCTTACCCTACAGGCTCTTAGAGTGTAGTGTATCCATTGGGCAAACCTAGTGATACCTAAAATTAAAACCCATGGCTTTTAAAAATTGATTAATCTAAAATTAATCACTTTAATTTTGTGTGTGGGAGTGTGTGAGCATGCACACTTGTCTGTCTTACACACTTGTTTTACTTAATTCATTTCATGGATGGTTTAGAAATTTCCTTTGAGTATTTTTGCATGCCATGAAAAGTGCAAAATCAGAATATATAATTCATTTGCCATGTGTAACTTTCAAATAAAAACCACCCCCTATTAAGTAACTAATAGACCCATAAGTATTAAGCCAACCAGAACTTGTGTATATATTGTTAAACTATGCTATTTGAAAAATGCCAGGTGATCATGTGTCTAGTTAAAGCAGTATTGGCTTTTTGAAGAGCACTTTCTAATGGGTGACCAGCAGAGGGCATCACCCATTTGTTCCTGACTTCTGTGATAGTCTACCACGTATGATCCCTTCAAGTGTCTAAAAAATTGACCCATGAATTTGATAGCACTTAGGGGAAAATGCCTTAATAACAATTTTTAAATTAAAATGTCGGGGTCAGGTAGAACTAACTTTGTTCTTAGAACTTTTATCTTCAGAATATCTAATTAACATAAACTAGGCCTTTGAGTATTTTATGTATTCATAAATACTTCAACCGTGTAAGCTTAACTTTAGTATATTTATTTATCTTGTTACATTTTTTCCTACTTTATATGAAATGTGAAAGGTTTTATTTTGAATGACTTTGGGCTGCTAAAACTCAGTGTTAGGCATTAATCTCGGGCCCTCTAGTGAGACTCACTGTTAACTGCCCGCATTTCTCTGCTCTAATCTTCTGTGCTCGTTAGGTTGTCAGTTTATTTTATCTTCTGGAACCATTACGGGTTTCTGGGATAAAGTTCTGCCTTTCGATAGAGGTTTGAATTTTGATGAAATGTTTAATTTGGGCATCTTTCCCACTTTTTCTCAAATGGTAATTTTATACCAACTACCTTCATGGAGAAGGCTGTATTTAAAAACTGAAGGAATTTGCATTATTCTGGTGAACTTATAAGTGAAAATGACTTACTTTAATGGCCTTATTTCATTAGTTATCATTTTATTTTGTACTATGCTGATAAAATAATTGTAATTTAGAAGGTTTATAATCCCTACTCCAAAGAATTGAGAATTTTGTAGTTTTCTTTACATTCCTTTGTAGACTTCAGAAATAGAACTTCATGAATCACTAAACTAGTAAATTTAGTATTTTGACCAGTTCCTTAAATTGCATTAAAATATTCTAAAATGTAAGTGGTTAAAAAGAATACTTTTAAGTAAATAGAAAATAATTGGTTATAAAAGTTTAACCTTACCATTTATGAAACCTTGGTCAAATTTTATCCCCCCTGTAAAAAACTATCTGCTAGCCTTCTCCAGCTAAGACTTGGTGATCATTACTGTTCTCTTAAGGTAGAAATACTTGAATAACACTAAATTTTATCTTTTAAGAAAGCTTATTTTTTAAGTTTTTAAAGTAGTGGTCTTGTAAATAATGTAGTTTGTAAAGTTGTATTTGAAATATCAATGTTTTTAATTACTGCTTTTATAACATTGTAAAATACTAGAAAAACTGGCTTCAAGTATTTTTTATAGTTTCCCAAAACCTCTGTATTTTAATTTCTATTTTGTCCAAGTGTTCAGTTGGAACTATATTATTTGAAACATATAATTTGCTGTACTTAAACCAGTGTCATTATCTCTTCAAATTTCTAAAAGTACTATCTAATTAAAGGCTCCTGAATCATGTACTTTAGTACCAAACTAGAGATGACCATTTTTCTGTTGACTCAGCACTCCTACAGATTCAATATATATGTTTACTAATCATTCACATATAAAATTTTTACTTCTAGGGTGCCTACTTTTATAGATGTATTATGAACTTATAATTTTTTAAATAATGTAACCAACAATTGTTACAATGTTTAAAATACTTAGAATATATTTTCATGTGAAATCCTTCTTTTGGTTCTGAATTTTAATATGGTTGGATGTTTCTTTGCATTCATGAACTGTATTTCCCTCTCATTTTTATAGGAAATGTGAGTCAATTGAAAGTTCAAAGTATTTAGAATTCCACAAGATATTCCTAAATTAAAACTCTAGTAAAATCTAATGCTCAACTGCTGGAGAAATAGACAAACTTTCCATTAACAGTGAGGTAGTAATGACTTAGGCTTTGTGGACCATGTCTGCAACACGAGAGTTCTGTCTTTGTCTTTGAAAGTAGCCACCAATGGTAGGTAAAGAAACATGCCTAATGTCCAATAAAACTTTATGCCCATTGGAATCTGAATTGCGTATGATTTTCACGTGTCCTGAAAGCCTTTTGATATTTTCCAGTCATTTTAAAATGTAAAACCTCCACTTAGATCAAAGGCCTTCCTACTCAAACAGCCAATAAGCCAGATTTGGCCCAGTGGCCCTGGCTTGACCTTGTCCAAAGGATCATCGATACTGAATACTCTGTATTCAGTAGTATTTACTACTGTAAATATTATGCAGGTCTCTCTCCAGATGTGTTCCTGTGCTGTTCAGAGCCTCGCTGTTAGGAGCTCTTTACATCCCGACTTTCAAATTAACAGGCCCCTCCAAACTGTCCTTATAGCTGTAACCCAACTCATTTAATTATCACAAGTCATTTTACTTGTATGAAATCAAGTATGTGAAACTGATAAAAAGGTTTTACCAGATTAAAATCATACTGGGTACTCTCAATGTCTGTTTTTGTTGTAGCAAGTTTGCAAATTTTCTGGGTGTTCCATTTACACATTTCTAAAAGATTTTATCAGATTAAAATCATACTGGTTACTCATGATGTCTGTTTTTGTTTTACCAAATTTGCAAATTTTCTGCATGTCCCATTTACACCTTTCTAAAATGTAGGCACCAGGCACTGTAAGCAGTTCACTAGAAATGGCAGTTCAGAGGGTACATAGTTTAATGTGGGAGTTTCAACCCTCATACTCCACTATTTTTGTACATTACTCATATAGAAAGGTAGTATGAAGGACTGGCTCATGTGATTTTTGAAGCTCATAGGTCCTATGAGCTCCCATTATAGGCTCAACACCAGGAAAGTTGGCAGTGTGGTTCCAGTCCAAACCTGAAGGCCTGAGAACCAGATGTCTTTGTGACCTAACAGATACGTGAAAACTATTAGTCATACTAAACTCATCACCAAACAATAATACACAATAAAACCAAATTCAGTTATATAAGTAAACATTTATTAGGCAACATAATTAGTAAGTAGCACAAAAATAAGTCACATAATTATTTAGTGAAATACTAGAAGGTTCAACCACACCTTCAAGAAAGTCTCTTCAGGTACATGAAACATCCACAATATATAATTAGCTTTATGGCCATAAAATCCTCCAAAATCAATCCCAGGCTTGATTCTAGTAGTAAGACCCATTTTGAATCATGAGACTATAAAGTTTACTTGATCTCATGTCTTATAGGGAAGGGAATAACCCCTAAATATTTCAGACAGTTCATGTATATCAAACGGCACTGGTTTTAGTAAGGAGTCAATTTCTAATATTCGTTATATAAAGCCTTTAGTGCTAAAGGGACTGGCTTCCCAAGTGGTTCTATAGTAGTTGCTTTGTGTGTGGCTTTTCTGTTAAAATACCATCTGATCATCTTGGAATGTAAATTTTTTAAAATACTTTTTTAGCTGGTACATGTTTTCAGCACATGAGTACATAATGGGATGGTATGTAAGTTCTTACTGAATAAGGTAAGAGTTTTAGAAAAAAACAAATGAGAAAGTAGGAAGAATGTTCCCTGCTGTGTCTAAAATAATGCTTGGGCAACAGAGCTCCAGTATCTGCTGAATGAGCAAGTATCAGAGCTGACATTTTTCAAATATTTAACAAAGTTGCAGGCATTATAAAAATATGTTCCAGCTACACACATACTTAATACAATAGTAATAAGAAACAGGTTTGAAATAATCTTATTTTAGGGCACTCAGGAGTTTAAAAGGAATTAAGGGGTAGCATACATTCTGATTCCTGTTTTCTCTAGGTCTGTGTATCAAGCTATAACCCACACATGATTTCCTAAGCCTTGATCTAAAAATTAAACTTTCAGAGCCAATACACTGTGGGCTCATATTTTTTTGTATAGCTTTTGTTATTTATAGTCTTTATGCAATCTAAAAACATTTCCTGTCATCTTTCAAAATCCCTTTAAGCTGCTTTTGAATGTGTAAGTACTTCATCTCTTTGTACACCATATTGTATCAAAAACTGGCCAACCTTTAAAATGTTACAGACATTAACATATTTTTTAATATACTACACATCTAAGTACAAATACTTTTACATCCAGTTTTTGTAAAGCCAACAGATGTTTGGAAAGTTTTATACATGAACCAACAGACCCCATTCTAAATGTGATCACTATTTACTCGTTTTCCAATACATTAAAATGTTAAATGTGAGGACAGTCCCTTTAGAAGTTGGAAAATCTGCTATGGCACAATCATATCTTCTTTATTCAAGAAATTTGTAGAATTCATTCCAGGAGGCAACTTCCTGAGATAGCAAACCAGTCTGCAAGAAAAGAGTATTTATCAGCAACATTTCCTTTCCTTTTATCTCCCTATTTTAACACTTTATACCAAGCTCTGAAACCTTTGATTTTTCTATTTCTAAATGACTTACATAATGAGAGAAAAAAAAAAAAGCCTCGACTATTTTGTCAAGTCTTCTATTTTCTAACTTGAAGAACATGAAAAAGAAAAATCACTGTCCCTATCAAAGTGGGGTGGCAGAAATTGAAACTCCCTTTACCAGTGGTCTTGGAAGAGAATTTTACAGAAATGCTCATCCCTTTCACCATTCTCTCATTCAGCTTTTTCTCCTGATTTGCCATACCATCCAAGAAACCAG